GCCTGTTTTTACACCTCCCCTTCTTTTCTCAGGGCAGGTGTAGTGCCACTTGCAACAGTGAGTGTTTTGGCAGATGTTCTAGCTAACAACTCTTTATGCAGCTAGTTCCAAACTACAGTGTTAGAGAACAGCTCTGAGACATTAACTGATAGCTACAGAAACAATCACACGAGGACTTCAAACTTCAGTCTATGACTGAACAAGGGCTACAGAGTACGAAACTAAGAGTCTAAAAACCTTTCACCTTACCTGCTGCACAATTCTTTGTTCCATCACATCTGATACCACTTGCACATGTATTGTACCTGCCACAACACTTGCAGAGTGACACCAAAAATGAGGATCTCTGTAGGATATGACTCCCTCTATTTTTTGAATCTGTAAGGAAATTACATTGGCAACAGTTGAGAACTCATTTTATGCTCATGGATGTACATGGGATATTGGTGGATGATATTTCACAGGGAAATATAAATGTGTAGCACAGCAGCTTTCCAGATGAGCTGTACTCAGAACTACCTAGCACTGAAAGGTCACCTTGCTACTGCTGTCAAACACTAGAAGGTGAAAGTCAATGAAAACCCCAGAAGAGCACAATGTTAAATAGGATGAGAAAAACCCCACCTTGATTCAGTGTAGAGAACACAGTAACATATATGGACAGATTGACTACGATGGTTGGGCATCTGCCATTTCTGGGGCATCTGTTACCTCACTATTTAGCAGCTCTTTAGTTACCATAACTGAACTTAATTCGGAGACATAAATTCTTTCCATAATTTACAACTTTTCAAATGGATCTTTGTCTTGGCTGGGACAGATTGAGCGTTTTTTTTACAGCAGACAGTAAAGTGTTTTGGTTTGGATTTCTCTCTGAAACGGTTAGAAAACACCAACGTTTTGCCTGTAGCTGAACTGCTGAATCTCTATTGTGCTGGACACTTCCAGGCTTTGCCTTTTGCCTCCTCTGCCCTTGCCACAGATACGCTGTGGAGGGCAAGAACTGATGAGAGGACACAGCTGTGCATCTAACCCAAATTGTTCAGAGTGATATTACATGGCATACAGCACCATGCTCAGCAGTAAAAACTGGGATAGAGGAAGAAAGGGATTTTGGCTTCCAGGGGTGGCTGTTGCTTAGAGACTGCCTGAATATCAATCTGCTTCTGGCAGGTGGTGCACTGCTATTTTTTTTCCCCTTCCTTCACCTGTTCAATTGCCTTTATACTGTTCGGAGTTTTCTTGCTCATGCTCCCCTGTCCCCCTGGCAGTGGTGGTGGTGGTACAGGGGGGAGAGAGCAAGTGGCTATGTTGATGCCTGTCTGCTGGGTGGGGTCACTCCACAGCAGGCACATTGTTATACTGTGATGGATTTTTAAACATGCTTTTCCTATTATCTTCTAGTGAATTGCTCATTGATTGTTTTCAAAAAGTACTTTTTTCTTCCTCAGACTCCCAGAATTCCTGCTTTCCCTCATCAAAAACTGAAACCACACTCTGCACCACCTCACTTTTCACTGGAGTTTAGCCTTGAGAAGAGGCTCAGGGATGACCTCATGGTCACGGCTCCCTGACAGGTTGTAGAGAGGTGGGGGATGGTCTCACCTGCCATGGCTGCAGGGAGAGGACTACAGGGAATGGCCTTGAGCTGAGACACAGGAGAGTCAGATTAGATGTTAGAAAAAATATTTCACTGTTAGGGTGGTCAGGGATTGGAATATTGCCCAGGGAGGTGGTAAGGTCACCATCCCTGGAAGAGGTGTCTGGATCTGGAGGATATGGTTTAGGGCTTACAGCAGTGACAGGTTAACAGTTGGATCTGATCACCTTAAAGGTCTCTTCCAACCCTGATGATTCTAAATTCTACACGAGTCTCTCCCAGACAATTTCCATTTGTCCTTTTTCACGCAAGCAAGAGCACATTTCCCCCTGTAGTAACTGACAGGACACTATCAGGATAGTCTTCCTTGAAGCCTCTAGTTGATGGCATCCTCCAAGAACTTGTAACTTGTTCTTTGACAGAGAGGAGCTCTGCACACCAAGGTCTGCACTATGATTCTGGGCAGGAACTTAAAATGAGCCAACAGCAAAGACTTAAGTACAGCCTCAAAGCAGATGCTGTACTGCAGCAGAGAGGAAGGGAACAGACTGGAGTGAGAAAGTAATTAGAAAAGACAGCATAACTTCTGCCATCTCACCTACTGTGAACCACTATGCCCTTCATGACATTGACAAATCAGAAGACCTGAAATTACAGGCTCATGACATAATGCTGTAGCCTGAACTGTTCCTCTTCCTCGCAAGGGTCAGTGGAGGGGCAGTACTGATCTTTGCTCTCTGGCAATCAGTGACAGGACCCAAGGGAATGGCTTGAAGCTGTGTCAGGGGAGGGGTAGGTTGGAGATCAGGACAAGGTTATTCCGCGCACTGGAACAGCTCCCCAGGGCAGTGGTCACAGCCCCAAGCCTGACAGAGCTCAAGGAGTGTTTGGGCAATACTCTGAGGCACACGGTGTGATGATTCTCATCATATTCCTTTTACTATACAAGCTGGTTTCTAAGGAGGTTCCTTACCCTTTCAAAAAAATCCACTTCTCACCAACTTTCCCAGAAATCCCACCCAATAAACACCACCTAAATGCAAAACCTAGCAATCACAAACTGGAGCAAGGAACCAAATTTTGTTTTAAGAGAGGCTGATCAATTTTATTTCCTTTCAGAAAGAGATATGGTTTGAATACAAGCTTTGCTTTGTTTTCACTGGCCAAGTATCTAAATAAAATTGTATATTGTACCTAGGACATAGAGTCTTCTGTAATTGTACTTTACTCACGACAGCAACTTCTGCTTTTTTGGTTGAATTGTGCTTTTTATCTGCTTGTTTTTCTGGCCTTCTTTTGATAAAGGAGCAAAGCATTAAGAGTAATTCCACGCCATCAAGTTTGAAAAGGCCACAAGGTCTGAGGAACTGCCATGTTACTTCCTTAGTGCTAAACATTTTTCTTACACTATTGCCATACTTACCTGAAATAATGGGCTACCCATAAGAGCAATGAACATTGCAAGTGCTTTTAGCTGCAAACAGTTTATCACTAATCCTGTCACCTCTCTGCAAAACAGATTGTAAACAACTTGAGACCCGAAGTTGTATAAGACAAGGGAAGCTGCCAGGCTGAACCACCTGAGTGTAGTAACCATTAAGAACAGTTACAGCTTCGTATGTCTATGAAAACACTTAGAACTGCAGTTCTGACCTTTTCTAAAGCAGCATGCAGGTCCTTCTCCTGTTCTGGAGGTATCCTCAGCAGAAGCACTTGACAGGCATCTTTCAGTAGGGGTATAACACTGAGAAAAATCAATGTAGAAATAAAAAGGGAGCAGAGTGGATCAGCTATCAGCCATCCAAATTGCTGAATAAATATCGTAGACACGATGACACCAACGCTGCCAAGAGTATCTGCCAACACATGCAGGAACACACCTGGAAACAAAATAAACTCAGTGATTAACAGTTCTCTTTAAAATGTATCTGTTTGTTCAACATCAGAAACATTGTAGGGATTGTTAAATACCCTCAGGCTAAGCAGAGGCAACGATCTGCCTAACCTGGGGCAAAATTACACAAAACATTTAGCTTTTCTAACGTTCAATTACAAATTAAGGTAGAAACAATGTATAGTGCAATGATCTAGGCATTCGCAGACTAAAACAAGTGACTAGTCTTTAAATTGCTACTGGAATTTATACAATATACCGTAATCATTTACCTCTGAGGTACTCATTGATCCTTAGCAGGGGATAAAAAGATCAGTGTACATGCACTAATCTGTTAATGTGGACGCATATTAATGTATCATTCAGTTTCTGTATGCCCATTCTGCTCCAGTTTTACAAGAACATTGTCTACCTGCTACTGCTAGGAACTCTATGCTGCTTTTATTGTGCGTTCACTCTCAATGTGCACTCAATGGGCATAGAAAAATACTCTAAGCCTTTGTAAGATCAGTGCTAGTTCAGTGTCAGGATTTTAAAGGATACTGGAACAGCTAAGAGTATGGGCAGACTTCACAAAAATACCAGGCACAATGAACATGAATCTCCCCTATGAGGACAGGCTGAGGAGGTTGGGGCTGTTCAGCCTGGAGAAGACTGTGTGGAGACCTCAGAGCAACTTTTCAATATCTGGAGGGCCTACATGGAGCCGGAGAGGCACTCTGTGTTAGGGACTGCAATGATAGAAAAGGGATAATGGGTTCAAACTGAAGGAGGGAGTCTAGGTTGGATGTGAGAAAAGAGGTTTTTACTCTAAGGGTGATGAAGCACTGGCACAGGTTGCCCAGGGAGGCTGTGGCTGCCCCGACCCTGGCAGTGTTCAAGGCCAGGCTGGATGAGGCCTTGAGCAACCTGCTCTGGTGGGAGGTGTCCCTGCCCAGGGCAGGGGGTTGGGACTAGATGATCTGTAAGGTCCATTCTAAGCCCTAAATTCTGTGATTCTATGATGAATAACAAGGATAACTAACTGAATTAGGACATAAATAAACAATGGAACATGAGACTACTCACCAAAATGCTTAAATACTGACAACCTTACACAAAACACATCATTCCTTTATGGATATTCTTTACAAGCCAGGCAGTTGGTAACTATCTACTTTCTAACTACTAGGGAAAAATTATATGCTGAAATATTAAATATACTGCCCTTCTCAGTTTTATGTTTATCTTCTGAATCACAAATAAAAGCATATTCTAGATTGCTGGTCTGCATTTGTTCTGCTTCTTATCCCCTCTCCAGTGATTTTATAGCCAGCTGCCACATAATATGTAGATGCTTGGTAGTATCTTTATAGTTAGACTCCTTGTACTTCCATTTCCAGGTTGAACTTAGAAACAAGGACTTATCAAATTAGGTTTACAATGTGCTGTTTATTAGTGTTAGTGAAGAGTGTACATTACTGATTTGTATCATAGAATCAGACAGGTTGGAGGAGACCTCAAAGATCATCGAGTCCAACCCTACCATCATTACTACACCATGGCACTAAGTGCCACATCCAGTCTCATCTTGAAAACCTCCAGGGATCGGTCCTTAGGTGTCACCCACATCTAAGAAAGCCACACAAGGAAACATTTCAAGTTAAGCTTCTTCAAGGTAAATACATGAATGGTTTGAGCAATTCCTGTACAGGACATTTAATGGCTGTCAGATCACTCTTGGAGAGCGATGTCAACACTGATGCACAGCTGTGGTTCTAAACATCTCCAGAGTCTGCTGGAAAATCAACATTCAACTGCAGATCCATCAGTCTGTACTTGCCTCTCATGTTGGCATTCATGCCTCCTCCGGATGCGCCGTGGGAATGCCCATGGCTGTGGCCGTGGTCACTGTGGGAGTGGCTGTGGCCGTGGCTGTGCCCGTGGTGAGAGTGGCTGTGGTCGTGTGAGTGGCAGCCTCCCCGAGACGCCCCATGGGAGTGAGCGTGGCTGAAGGCACAGATCCCAACCAGGTTCACGAGCAGCCCCCCAACTGAGACTGGCTGT